TGGATCCCATCTACAGCGTCCCACACCACTGCCATTCTGTATCCTGCATCCCACACCACTGCCTGCAGCATCCCAAACTGCTGGCTGCAACATCTTGGATCCCATCTGCAGCATCCCACACCACTGCCATCCAGAACCCTGCATCCTGCACCACTGTCTGCAGCATCCTGTGTCCTGCCTGCAGCATTCCACACCACTGCCACCCTGCATCCTGCACAGCTGCCTGCAGCATCCCTCATCCCTGGATGCATCATCCTGCATCCCACCTGCAGCATCCCTCACCACTACCCGCAGCATCCCTCATCCCCAGATGCAGCATCTCTCCCCACTGCCTGCACCATCCCACATCCCACAGGGATCCCACTGCTTGCACCATCCCACATCCCTCACCGCTGCCTGCAGCATTTGCACTGCTGCCTGCAGCATCCTGCATCCCTGACTGTAATATTCCTCACCACTTCCATCAGCACCCCTCACCCCTGGAGCAGCATTCCACACTGCTGCCTCTGACATCCCACATCCCTCACTGCAGCATCCCACATCCCTGGCTGCCTGGCATGCCCCATGGGTGCCCACAGCATCCCTGACCAGCATCCCAAATGGATCCCTGTGTCCATGTTGCCATGTCCATGCTGCTGCATCCACCCTCCACTCCAGCCCGTGCTTCCAGTGCTGGCATCAAGGATATTTGGGATCAGAGCAGGCTACTGGGGGCCTCAGGCAGGTGAGGAGGGAGGGATTCATCTCCCCGAGGATGGATCTCTCCCACCGCCTCTCCAGGCTCCTGGGACAGTGTTTGACCACCACCAGGGTGGAAAAGGTTTCCTGAAACCGAAATGTGGTAAATGAATGATCGATAATTGTAATTATGGTTCTGGCTGGAGGGATGGAGGTGGCTCTGAGTGTCATCCCATGTGGTCACTGGGTGTCATCCCACTGTGCCCGTGGCATCCTGACACCTGTGACCGGAATGGGGCCGGTTTTAGCTGCTCCCACCATTCTGTGCTGATCCAGGCCCAGCCCAGACTCCAGGGGGATGGACTCCAGGTCGTGGTGCTGGCATGAGTGTCCCCTGTGCTCGTTGTCCCCATGTCCGCAGTGTGACCAAGTGTCCTTCTCCCACCTGGGCTTCTCCAAGGCTGGAATGTGCAGGGAAGTGGAGCTGGGAGGTGGCAGCATCCCTCATCCTACACCCCACCACCTTTGCCCAGCTGTCCCACCTTTCCACGGGAACCTGAGGCCGGGCAGGGTGGCTGTGGGAGCTCCCCTGGAAGGAGCTCCTGGAAGGACAGGGAACAGTTTCTTGCCGGTCCCTGAGGAAAACCGAGCTTGCTCCTGGGTCCCAGCACCGGACCAGCCGTGCCAGGACCCCCCCACGAGCGCCCCGTGTCTCCCTCTTTGCCAGGTGAAAGTGTGGTTCCAGAACAGGCGGACGAAATACAAACGGCAGAAGCTGGAGGAGGAAGGCCCCGACTCGGACCAGAAGAAGAAAGGCTCCCACCACATCAACCGATGGCGCCTCGCCACCAAGCAGTCGAGCGGAGAAGACATCGACGTCACCTCCAACGACTAAGGCAGGGACAGGCTCCTGGTGCAGCCACCATGGAGAGGAACCCGGGGGAGGAAGGGGGGACA